GGCGCTACTTTGGCTTTACCCAGGACAAAGCTTGTCTTGTGGGTTCCGTCAGTGCACAAGGTTTTTATATAAGCTACTGTGCCTATAGCATCTTTAGAAGCATCAGCGAAAGTATGAAGTTCTCGGCGAGAAAGATCCTTGTCGGCGCCAGTTGTGTAGACTCTAGGTACTCGCATATCCGCCAATGAGTCGAGAGAATTTCTCCATGCGTCCCACTCCGCTTCATGCTCTGGTGGTAAGGGCTCGTCCCAATCTGAAGATGAACTACGCGATATAAGGTTCCTGAGAATGAGCTTTCCTTTGATCACTACAGGAGCAATGAAGCCCAGAGGGTCGAACAAGCTGTTGACTGTGGAAATTACACCACGGCGAGTGTAAGACTGGGCTTCTGACGATACCTGGAAGGTGAAGGTATCGTTGTTGACATTCCATATGAGACCGAGACTCCTCTGCAGAGGAACTATGTCCCTTCAAGTTCCAGACCTTTCAAACCGGTAGCCAGATCACTTGGCTGGAAGGCCTCCAGTACTTCGTTATCATTTGAAGTGATCTTGTGCAACCTCAGGTTACCTTCGCGTGCGAGAATAGACTGCGTACGCTTCATGAGATCGATGCCTGTCTTGGCGTCGGCAGTGGAGACGAGCGCGTCATCCACATAGAAGTTTCGTGCGACAAAGTCTCTTACATCGGGGTCTGCATCCTCAACAGACTTACATAGGCCATAGGTGGCAACTGCAGGCGAGGGACTGTTGCCAAATACATGAACTGTCCTGGGTTGTTGTCCTTATGCCAAAAAAACCTTAAGAAGTTCCTGTGCCTTTCTGCCAAGAGACTGTTGGTCGAGTCGGGTCCGGTCAGTAGCACGTTAATAAGAGAAACATTTTCAAATTTCGCAGAAGAATCAAACACGCCTGTAATGGTATTAGGCTTCTTCGGGTTGTAGACCCCGAATAGAGGTAGATACCATCGCTCTTCATCATTCGAGGTGAGTGGAGCAATTTCTGCATGTCCTTTACTGAGGATTTTCTGCATGAACTCAACCATATGGCGTTTCTTGTTTTCGTCTCGTTTCATGCTAGCGTCGAGGGATTTTGCTCTTTTTAATGCCATAGGTCGGTTGTCAGGAAGCCGTCGTCGGCCAGTCTTGAACAGCAATGGAGCTATCCAGTTTCCTCCACCATCCTTCCTGAACTCTGTGTCCATAATATTGAGAAACTGTTTGTCTTGAATAGACAAACCCGGTGTGTTGTCATCAGGAGTCCTACGGAACACCTCGTCTTCGATCAACGATATCCCTATGTCATTGGGGCATGGTTGTAGAAGCGAAGGCCTGTCATTTCTTAATGTGTGTACTTTGTTTACGTTAATGTAACTTGGTCTATGCACACTGCCAAGACAGGTCTCTCCAATCACGACCCAGCCGAGATGAAGTTTCTGTGCAAAGGGCGAGTTGGTTTGTTCAATACGTTGCCCAAGGACATGATGGACCATTGGAAGATCGCGTCCTGTCAGATGCATGATTCCAGCATCCGGATCTATGGGTGGAATGAGTCCTTCCAAGTCTTTAAGGTGAGTGAAGTGTTTGGTAACTTCTGGGGACGGAATTTCTTCCCTTATATCAGGGATATCACACTCAATGATGTCGGGAAGTTTCGTTTTGAAGGAGCCATCAGATGATTCAATTATGTAGCCTGATGCTAATCTGGCTGTGGTAACATGACTACCGGAACAGGAGGACATGACGTATTCCATGCGGGGTCCATTTTCATTGAAATAGTCGAGAAGTGATGATCTCCCGAGTGTGCGATTACTCTGATCGTCAAGGATTACGTACAATTTCATTGCGCTTTCTGGATGGGACTCGTGATACATTTGTGCTAACACGATTTTCCCACACGATTTACTGGTGCTGTTTCTTAGCCCGCATATCAGTCGTTGAGTGAGTGGTTTGTCTTGTGTAGAAGACACACGTCCTCTTGCGACTTAGGACTGCCTGTTTCGGTTTTTCGGCTGATTACCTTCGGATGCGAAGCACGGTCCTTGGAACGAGTAGAGTAGTCTCCCCTCTTTTCATCAAGACTAGGGGTTTCATAGACAAAACTTGGGTCATTCTTTATCTTGGCGAGCTCCCTCAAGAACCTTGCAAAGTGTGAAAAGGGAGGATATGTTGTGTTGTACCTTTCTTTGTATTTTACAGCCTGCGTGGTCCATTTTTCTTGGAGATAAACTGGTAGCTTGCTTACGATTGGATTCACACCTGAAGACGAATCGTAGTAGGCGAGCAAGATGTTGTACCTTGGGTCCTCCTTTAACGAGCAGATCTCCGAAACAATATCAGATAGCTCAAACAAACGAGAATGGTCTTTATTCGTAATCTTCGGGAAAGCCGAAAGCTTCTTCTTAACGGATGCTTCCACCATCTCTGGGCTGCCGAACTTATCCTCAAGTCGTTCCCACACACGCCTGACCCCGTTTTCAGGATTGCTGGCGTTAGATGACCGTATGGTGAGGGCAAACTTCGGGATTCGGGTCCTAACCACTTCACAAGAAGGTCCATTTCCTCCAGTGGAGATACTCTCAAGTCACTAGTTATTCCTTGAAAACTAGCTTTCCAAGTTCTTAAGTGTTCCGGGACGTCATCAAACATGGTGAGTCTTAATAAGAGTAAATCTCTCCTTGCAATGGACCTTGAAAAATGTGAACACATTTCCATATATGGAGGTTGTGGCGGTGTATCTGGCACGCCGTTCAGTGAGGTAGGCTTGGGAGGATGTGAAGCTGTGTCGCGATTAATGGTAGGTGGTCGCGAGTTCTCATGTTGCCAATACGTAATCGCAGTAGGCTGGTGGTTGTATTCACCCTCAGGCGAGACATCATGTGTAAGGTGGAGATCATGGCGATCAAATCTGTCCTTAGGGCTAGTGTTACTGAGAAGGTTACGTGGGATTGTGGTTGGAATAGGAGCGGACGGGGTCTCGTACGGATGTGTCGCAAGTGGACGACGGAGTATAGACATCACTGGCCTATCATTGGCCGAGCGAGGCTTCTCAATGTCTGGACTAAGGTAAGATGTTGTAAAAAATGGCTCTGCACATGGGTCGAGAATAGGCGAGCTCTCATACTGATGACGAGTACTATTGGGAGGTTTCCAACTGGGGTTGGTATCTTGGTCAGTTGATTTCCTAGTTGTAGTAGGAATATTCATTTTAGGAAGTCTATCTCCAATATCAGATTGATGTGTATCCTTCAATAAGGTGTTTTGTACAGTGATGAAATCCGTAATCCGGGTCCGTTTCTCCGGTTCCGATTCCTTTTTTATAACAACTTCTGAACATGGGAATGGTGACCGATAAGACGGTAACAGACTGCCCTCTGAAAATTCCATTACAGCTTTGAGTTCAGCCTCAGCCTCGTCAGCTTCTCCCTGAATATTGTGGATGGGGTACTCCAGCGTTTTTACTGTACTGTTTCGAATGTCTTTATTCAGTGTATACAAAAACCCCGGAGAGGGTAAAAACCTACAATACAAACAAAAGGTATTTGAGGATCTAATAAAATGGACAATATCCCATTATTTATATGATATAAGTCAGACTAGGTATGATTACCCTGTAAACAATAACCTAAATAACAGACGTAATCTCTATGTGCGTTACATGCTTACATTAATATTGATATTAACACTATAGCTCACTTGGAAAACAGTATATGGCTACACGGCCGCATTAATCGTAGTTTTAAAACAATATATGTCCAAAATATCATGTGCAAACTCACGCTATGGACTGTTACCCCATAAATCATCAGCAGCGAGTCCTTTCGCACGAGGAAAGTTCTCACCGGAAACTCATAACAAGAACATAAAATGATGTACGTCTCTCGCGCCAGTCATAATTATAAAGGTGTAACAACACCAACTGTCAATGAAACGTTACAAGCCCGCTAAGACATACACATTGAAAAAACCAATACTGTTCCAGCCTTATATCAACATTCTAAATGTTTAGTCATAACTGACTTAAATATAGATATTCCCTTATATTTTCGATATTGAAATGTTTGTGTCGTCAGCGAAAGCAAGATTCCTGGAACAGCCTTACGTCCCCAAAATGTTTGCTTCTAACGGTTGTCTCATGTTAATCGAGTCGGGACGAGACTTCAAAATGAAGCGGACTAAATTGCGTTCAAAGTTCTATGAACGCAATTTCTTCAGATAATGCTCATAGATGAACACGCAGTGTAAATGTAAATATATCTATTTTGAATCGAAGATGTCGATATACATGTGACTTTAACATCAACTGTAATCCCTGGTAGGGTCGGTATTTACAGTAGATGCGATCGGATTCAAGGAGTCTTAATAAATATAACTTTATTGATTCAAAGTGTTGTTATATGATTGCATTACTTCAATAGGAGGTAATTCGAGTCAGTATAATAGCAGTGTCGCTGTTTATGATTGTATTACTTCAATAGGAGGTAATGCGAGTCAGTATAATAGCAGTGTCGCTGTATATGATTGCATTACTTCAATAGGAGGTAATTCGAGTCAGTATAATAGCAGTGTCGCTGTATGTGATTGTATTACTTCAATAGGAGGTAATTCGTGTCAGTATAATAGCAGTGTCATTGTATATGATTGTATTACTTCAATAGGAGGTAATTCGAGTCAGTATAATAGCAGTGTCGCTGTATTTTTCAAATTCTACATGTACTGTTATCAATCCCTTTTCAAAGAAGATAGCTAAGTGTCAAGGAAATCTATACTAACATGTGTTCTGACTCATCCATCTATTGTTTCTATTCAAGAAAACAGATAACAAAATCAACATCAGGATTAAACATAACGATACAAGAACACTTCCTAAAAGTTAATCAACTCAAGAGATTCTCAGAATATGATAACAATGTCCCAATTGTACACTGCGCTTGCTTGACGAGATTAAAATTTGAACCTATAAATCTGGACCTTGACTCATATCCTGTCCTATATATATAGGTACAAGTATCGTCTTTCGCCGGACCAGAAGCCTAGATACTTAGACAGACACTTACATTTGTACAATGGGTTTCTCAGATTCCTCTTCTCTATTGAAGACAGCCCTTGCCGTTTTCCCTCTAGCATTGATACTACATATTGTTGGATTAGCAACTCCAAGTTGGGCTACTAACAGTGGTTCCTCTGGTGGTATAAGCTTCAGAGTGACAGCAGGTCTATGGAAACAATGCAACACCGTACATGGAGAAACCGAATGTATCATCTATCCACAACGTATGTATCGATCATTTAAATACTATCACATGGTTGCTTTTATATTATATATAAAACGTATTATTTTGTACAAAACTATTGCAAACGGAAAACGGTAGAATTTTGATATCTTGAATACATGACATTGATATCATATTTATCTGATCTTGAATGTGTTCGCTTGATTGAAGGATATACAACACCTAGACATACCTTGTACGTTTCTATACCTATGTGCGTTTTGTTGTTAAATTAATGTATCAGAAAAATAATTTTATAACTTTTTTGAGGATAAAGCTATCTTGATTTTCAAAGTTTTCGAAAATGTACTCGAATCAAAATATATTAGTTTATATTATTCGTTTGATAAAAAAAATTGGATGTGACATATCAACATCATTGTTCAAAATGGCTTCTGAAATTTCTCTTTTATGGTTAACAGTTCGAACAAGAGGGTGGCATAGGTAATTATCGGCATATGAGATATAATAAATAAAATAAAATAACTCAAGATAGGAGAAGGTAAGTGTGGTATTCATAACCTGTGAACAATTTCACTTTGTCTTACTGTGAAAGGAAGTTTTTTATCAGTGGTTTTCTTGTTTGCATATACATTTCGACAACTTATAACGAACGAACGTAACGTCGTATCTGGAGTACAATATTCAACACTTTATACAATTTTAAAAATATATGTACACACCAGCCTTTATATTGTATACATTCGTTTACATGTATATGCATAATGAGATAATTGTCGTCTTATTTAAAGTATAATGATGATTCGTATGCCTTTTTTGTTTATCTATTATAACTTCATTTATAATACTATTATCCATGCGTTGTGAAGCGCTTTAGAGTAAGTTACAAATTATATAGGACACTATACAAATATTGTATATTATCATTATTTTTCTATTTTTATGATTGGCATTACCTTACTTGCGTCTATAATCAATTGCAATATTTTTTTTTAAACACACTTACACACAATTTTTTTTTATAGAAAGGTATCTTGTCAAGAAATGTTGCCCTATATGATATATTACTTGGTTTTCCAGCGGAAGATTGGCAAAAGGCATGTCAGGCGTTTGGTATCATCGGTGTGTTGGCTGTCTCTGCCGCGGCCATCTTGGAAGGGTTGTGCACAGTATTGCTGACAAAGTCCAAACACAAAATCTTCTTCATAGCCACTACATTACTAGCTTTCCTTGGAGGTTGGTAAAGTGTTATGTAGAAAAATTACGAAACAATTAATACACCATTAATACACCATTAATACACCAACAGAAGCCATCGCGTAAATGTCATTGCTGCACCCAATCCAATAACGTGTAACCTTGTCACCAACGTATTATAAATCAATTATTTAATGTGCCAGTTCTGAAGATATTTTTGGCAGAAATACTTGAATTTTATAATTAAACCAAACGTTTTTATCGGTTTCCCCTTGCCATAACAGTTTGTAGAAAGCTTCATGAGCGGGTGTATTTGTTTTTCCATAAGAGCACTACTGGTAAAGTTGGTTTTATTATATATATCGTTTTCACTAGATGATAAGTGATGAAATGTGTCCTCTTTTTTCATTATTTGTGTTTACCTGCAGTATTAAAAAGAAATATATATTATCTAAATAATTTCTCAATGCTATATGCAAACCTTAATTACACGTATCTGCGTTCGTGTTAATGTGATTAATAATTGTATATGTTTATAATTCATTTTAGCTGGCAGTATCATCCTTACTGCGATCATTTGGGCCGCGAAGATATTCGAGCTACAGTTGACCGACCTTGTCCTAAGCTGGTCGTTTGGGCTGTCCATCGCTGGGGCCGTTCTGTCCGGTGTTGGTGGAATACTGATGGCAATAGACCTTTGTCAGAATTCTAATATTTATTCTTAGCTCATGTCTGTTGTGTGTTCGAAAAATTATTCACTGCTCGAAAGCTATATATTTTGGAACATTTCGGATTTATATCCAACCCTTCCTAACATATTGATAGGTCGTTTGAATGATTAACGTCAGGTGGCATATGACTAGTAGTTAGCGCCTGATGAGACAGTTCCTCAAAGTTGTATTGATATATATATCATTTAATGGATATAGAAAATTGTATTGAATGTATAAATTGTACTGAATGTATAGATTCTATTGAATGTATAAATTGTATTGAATGTATAAATTGTATCGGATGTATAAATTGTATCGAATGTATAAATTGTATCGAATGTATAAATTGTATATATATGTACTGTAAAGCGTTTTGGAGTGGCTTATTCTAACCATAGAGGGTGCTATATGAAATTTGTATATCTATATATATTAATTACTTGACCTCTGTATAATGAGAGGTGTTCGATCAACTTCCATGCTGTGAAATAAAGGTAAAACAAAGGGCTAACGTAATACATATTTAGAGACATTTTAAACTATATTTGGATTGAGGGCATTTTTTGAAAAAAAATATTCTAATAATTATCGTTTTACCATTGCATTTAAATACCTTTTTGCTCAATATATGCAATAAAACAGGTTTTACTACGAATTAATAAAAAATTATATACATCCGTTTTATACAATGTAAGACATATTGTAGCGGGGGTCTTTAACGAATTTTCAATTTTATTTTATTTGATACTATTTGGTTGACATGCATTTTGAACGATGCAAATATTTGCCTTTACTGTCTTCTTTTGTACCATGTGCAGAGGTGGTAATCACTATAAATCACTTTATAATGTCAGACATTTGAATCTTGTGACTGCAGCATACCAGAAACTCATTATTAAATTAGTATTTCATAAAGACCGTCCCAGATTAAATTTAAGTTTCAGTGTAATGGCCAACCACGGGGACTGACTTATCATCGATTGTGCTTCTTAACCGTGCTGTTAACTTTATTGTCAAGTGTAAGATCCTCGTTGAACTTAGTAAAATGATTTGTGAATAAATCACTAGAAATGATATGAAGCTCAGTACATCATTCAATGGATATCGATTCGTTTTTCTTCTGACGGATTATCATAATGGGCATTCAATGATACTACAAAAATGGAAATTTTCGCGTGTGGAAAAATTCGCCTTGTGACACTTAAAACTAATCTCGGTGTATAAAATCCCCTCGTTTGCAATGGTATAAGCATTTATCACACAATGTACTGTGTTATCCAGTGAATATACCCATCTCATATTTGTTTGCGTATTAACCAATATACAAATATTTCATGACTTACTGTGCGCTAGTCCAGAATATTTGACACGATGTGGTGGTAATCAACAAGTGTTATAAGTCTTTAATATTTGGGAATGTTTTTTAATTATAATGGTAAATTTTATAAAACCCAAAAGCATTTAGCGGACCAAGGAAGAAAGGCTTTATTTTCATTATCATCCTCTTTAAATAACCATTGTTTGAATTTGGAAACCCAATGCTCTGTCTTTGATATTGATGTCGGCAGCATCTTAAGCTATGGTGCAGAAATATGGGGGTTTCACAAAGCTCCTGATATAGAGAGAGTTCATTTGAATTTCTGCAAAAAAGTCCTTAGAGTATGTAAATCTACATTCAATGATTTAGTTTATTGTGAATTGGGTAGACTACCATTAATTGTTACAAGAAAGCTAAAAGTATTCAAATATTGGTTGAAGTTGACGAAATCTGATAATTTGATATTAAAAACTTGTTATGATGAATGTGTCAACGTGAATGATCCGTGGATTTGTAACATTAAGAATGAATTAACTGCCCTAGGTCTTGGTTATATTTTTGAATCGAATCTACCATTGGTAAACACTTTTGAAATTATTGAACACAGATTGAAAGATGTTACTAAGCAAAATATGTTGGCAAAGATAGCAGCTTCATCAAAAGGTAGACTATATCAATATCTTATAGACAGTCATAGTATTCAGTTTTATCTCCGTAAACATATTGAAACAAAATACAAATATATGTTAACTAAATTTAGAACGTCGTCTCATCAACTGAATATCGAAAAGGGTAGACACAATAATATCATTCGCAGAAATAGAAACTGTAGCAAATGTGATTTGGGAGACGTCGAGGACGAATTTCATTTCATTTTTGTATGTCCTTTTTATAATGATTTGAGGTTAAAGTATATAAAGAAGTATTATTATAAGAGTCCCTCTGTTTACAAACTTGTCCAACTTTTATCTGTAAATAATGTCAAAGAGTTGTCAAATCTAGGTAAATATTTATATCTAGCCACTAAGCGGCGAAATTGATTAATTAGCTACACGTATTTATAATTTTTGTGCTTTTGTATTATGTTCTTTGTTTAGTTTGCACTTGTATGCTTATAGTCACTCTCCTATAACATTATACATGTACAATGTATCATGATTGCTTTGTACCTATAAGTCTTAAGACTTTTGGTGAATAAAGAACTTGAACTTGATAAGTCCGTAGGCCGAGTGCAATATAACACTTGTTGATTACCACCACCGAGGGGCAAATATTCGGGACTAGCGCATACAGTAAGCCATCAGATATTTGTTTTATTACATAATCAAACTCAAACAAAGGTGTTAAAATGCTAAGTCGTTTTTATCTCTTAAACAGTTTTACCTAACGGTAGTAAACATAGGAATTAGCAATAACAACAGCAAGAAAACTTTCTCAGAATCCCATTGATTTCTTCTTCGGTTTTCGATGTCATTATCTCCAAGCTACATCCTTCTGCCCTGAAGAAAGAACTAAGTATTTGTTCGAAATATTGTATGGCCTTTTTGGTGTTTTTAGTATCCGCTGATTCCAATAAATCGGCTATGTCGGAGTCCAGTCCTTGAAAAAACCGCCCGTCGGAAATCTGAGTCAAGCGTGCGTTTGTGAAAAACCGTGCAATATCAAACGCAAATAGTGCACGGCAAATCCGGAATATTGCGCGGTGCAAGTAACGTTTTGGGAAAATGCTCAAAATAGTCGAAAATATGTTATTTCGGCATATATAGGAAAAGGTCAGTGAATTATGTAATAATGTAATATGACCTATCAGCTCTGTGATTGGTTGTAAGTTTCAATTATTTCGATTGTGACGTCACGTATAGGACAAGTACATGACGTCACAGACTTACTCATTGGAGTCAAAATGGCGGCTATTTACATTTCAACGTTGCATGAAAATTGTCGTTTTACACGAATAAATGCCACAAAACTTGATTGTGTGATAAAAAAAGTCTTACACTCGTTTTCATTTCATATGAAATTTATGAAACTCGTCACGAATTTTTCATTTAAATTGCCAGAGACTCGCTAAATTAAAAAAATCTTAAACTCGTTTCATAAATCTCATATGAAATGGAAACTCATGTAATATCCATAATATACATCTATAACTTAAATAATTTATTAATAAATACTCGCGTGTGAATAGTTTCGGGCTAATTTACTCAACGTGAAAAACGCGAATGTTTCCACACCTCGGCAATGTACTCTTTTACAGTATGACCCAATACATTACCGCCTTCTACTTGTTCTCCTCGCACCTTGTCAATACCGTGTTCACTTCCATCGTCTCTTTTATAAACCACTCTGTCGTGACAATATGTTCTTTTCTGTGAAGGAATTTACTGGAAAGCGATAAACATCGACCGGCCAGGGCTCGCTATCACAGCGTCAAGCTGCCACTTCTAGTAAGATACAAATGTATGTATTATCTCAATACTTTATACTTTTCCTTTCTGTTTGGAGTTAACAGCGATAGCAAAGTGTACACAAACATGAAACCCTATTAAGAAAAGTTGAAGCCCTGGTAAAAAAAAAAAATATTTTACAAAAGTTATGTTTGATTTGTATAAATTCAGTGGTTACAGGTCGTATTTGTATAAACAAAATTCATCAAATGCAGCTTTATTTGTTTCACATATGAAATACGTTTTTGTCAGCTTTATACTAGTACTTTAAAACCAAAGTGGCCAGGTAGGTGACCCCTTTACATTTTCACGTCTAATTTGGGAGTCATCTACCCGACGCTTTGTTGAAGGCAAAGCAAATCACCCTGACCACATTTGTGTGTCGATAACGAGGAGATAATTTCAACAAATATTGAAAAGTTTTCTGTCAGGAAGGAGCTGTAACAATAGCCACATGTCAGCGAAACTGAAACTAACATGGATTCCGCGAAATGCATCGTTTCCAATTTCAGAAAACAAGTAAATAGATGCTTAGTAGGCTACAGGTTAATGTGCAGCATTGACGTCGAGCTAACGTTCTGTGGCGGAAGGTACTTGAGTGCATGTACAGACACGAAATACTGCGAAAAATATGTGTACGGGGTAGGGCGAAAAGAAATGTACGGATAGACCCAATGCGCATGTTTGCTGTTTTATAAAACCCAATCAGAGGCTTGCATTTGTCACCACGCACCTGAACATCAACTGGTAGTTGGAAATTTGTCGGCGTCCAGCTACTTATTAGGAAAACAGACGCCCAGGGAAGTGGACTCAAATTCATCATGGGTTTTTCTGATTCATCCGCTTTGTTAAAGATAGCCCTCATCCTTCTTCCTCTGGCCTTGATATTGCATATCGTCGGAATAGCGACACCAAACTGGAGTTCTTACAGTGCTTCATCCGGGGCAGTAAGCACCAGTTTGTCATATGGACTCTGGAAATTGTGTGTTGAAGTGAATGGAGTCAGTGAATGTGCTAACTACCCCAATGGTATGTGTCAATGGATTGTCCAAAGCTAACTATTGTTTCACAATCATTACGCATGTCATCTTGCAATATATCACATAGAATGAATACTTGATCGTTTTATATTTTAATTGAATGCTATATTAGACCCTAAAATAATTGCTGTTAAATCAATATATTCCATTTATATCAAACGAACGGTTTGATAGCCATTAAAGTGGGATATATATCTATCTATACAAAACAAACGACAAGCATTTCTTAGAGCTAGGGAGGTACTAAGAAACTCTTTTCAATTGTTTCTTTTCTATATTTAACCATCAATGACTTTGAATGTTTTTTTTATTTATATCTATATATATAACAAAAGACAAGAGTTTCTTAGTACCCTCTAGGGCTTTCGCCTCTTTAGAGGTTCATCAGGGGAACTCATATATTGATATTTTCTTCGTGTTTTGTTTTATTTATATTTTTACCGTCACAAGAACATTTAAAACTATGTATCTCTATTGATATTTATATATTTATATATACATGGAAGATTATCATTGGATGTAAAGACTCCGTTTTAAGGTATTTCATACAGGCGCATGTCAGTGTATATAGTATGAGATTGGCTCATAACTTTTCCTCAAAATGATAAGAATGTGGAAGTTGGTTGGTATACCCATGTCAAGAAAAATGTCAATAATGTCCTTTGCAGAAATCATTTGTTGAAAATAAAGTTGACTTTGTCTGAAAAGTAACATTTGAATGCAGAATTCTAGTGGCGCAAAATTGCAATGAATAATTGAATTAATAAAAAAACTTACCTCAACATGCATTCCTGAAGTATCCATTTATTGACTATTATCGAGAAAAATGTAAGAATATGTGTCAAATCTCCAGAATAATAGCATATATTTCCACTGAATAAATCACAACTGAGCATAAAGCCAACAAGGCTGCCTGAAGTTTGGGAAAAGCATGCAAAGCAAGTGAGATTTTACCTGTACACCATTCAAAACACCTTCAGGTTCTCACTCAGGTAATCTGGCTTGACTAGTATCATTGTAAAATATCCAATGAAAATACATGCCATCATTCTTGAGATTTTAAGTATTTTATTACATTTTTCTCGATAATAGTCAATACACGGATATGCATGTACAGGTAAGTGTTTTCATGAACTATAATATTCAATGCAATTTTGCGCCACTAAATTTCTGCATTTTAAAGTTACTTTCAGAAAAAAATCAAGATTATATTCGACAATGAATTTCTGCAAAGGTCATTATTGACATTGTTCTTGACATGGGTATACCAACCAACTTCCATATTTTTTTCATTTTGAGGAAAAGTTATGAGCCCATCACATACTATATACACTGACAAAGGCATGTATGAAATACCTTAACAAATGGTTCCAAAATAGAAATTAGATCAGACATTAACTGTTGTTCAAAGCATGTTATTTACACTGGAATATGTTAACACTGTGGACAATCTTATATCGGTATGTGATCTGAAACTACGTATGAATCTACATAGAACACAAATGAAGAACAGTGAGCTATATTCGTTAAAGGTTTGTTTACATTGCTTCAATGTTCTAAATTTTATTTTATTTTATTTTTATTTTTAAACTGAATAACGATTATACAGCCGCAAGAGAATTTAAAGGAAAAACGTTTATAAAAGCCCTCAAACCTTGCTTGAATGCACAATACATTTTACAGTGTGTTGAGTGTACATGTTTTCTTTGTTCTGTTATAAGATGTCCGTGTGTGTTAATAACTATTGACTCATAAATTCGTATGAAGCAATAATATTTTCTTACGCTTTCATTTAACCGATTTATTTCATTTTCCACTAAAAAGTCTCGTTTAGGTATAGCCACACCGTTGCCAAGCATCTTATTTTGTCAAGCCTTTGGACAATTTAGGGATATAGATAGTTTTCAGATTGTTTTGATGTGAATTGATAAATAACACCTTACAACTCAACTGAGTGGGATCAAATTAAATGTTCGGTACTCAGATTATGTTAAAAATACATTGTATTGACAAATCTAAACAAAAATGACGACAAATAATTGAAATCAGAATTAAAGACGTATTATATGTACAGGAAGATTAAGAAATGCACTAAGTATTTTTTAAACTATTAGATATGTAGGTCAAATACGTGTAAACTTCCAAGATGTGCCCAAGCCTGCTGCTTAATAGTTTATTCAAACAAATGATACGTTTTTGGAGTGTTTGCATTCCAAAGACTTTACGTTGTTGCTAGAGTCAGGGGCTTACAGTGTACCTATACCGGCTAAGATGTCGGTTGTATTTTGTGAGATTTCTATATATGCATTTCTTTTTTTCTGTTAGATGTGTAAGATTGATTAATATCTCGAAATTCTAAGCGTAGATGCAGTTGAGGGTACCTGCATAAGCACTTAATGCACATAAGGTGTGTCTCATGACTGATGAACTGTGCAAAATGTATGTCGATCACAATTTATTTCCTAGTGCCTCCTCTGAATGACGTCATTTAAATCCGAATCGTGTTTTACTAAAAACAGCATTGAGGGTAAATAAAAATCGATATCAATGCCACCAGAGCTAGTGGAACTCTTCTGTTTTCCTACACATGTATCTATGGCAACGCATAGAAACGCTTAAACGAGAAGTAATGTATTCGTCAGCATGCAATTAAAAATATATTGAAAAGAAACATGAATTTAGTAATATAAGTTATATTCCTTGTTCTTCCAGTTCAGGATTGGGTGAAAGCCTGTCAGGCGTTTGGTATCATCGGTGTGTTAGCTGTTGCTGGCGCAGCCATATTGGAAGTGTTGTGCACGATAGTATTGTCTAAGGCTACACACAAGGTCGCTTTCATCGCCGCCGCCATAACAGCCTTTGTTGGAGGTCAGTAACTATATGTGTATACATGTACAAATATGTACAGGAAGTTGTTTTATATATTTCTTTAATAAATTTGAAGAAATATAAAGAGATATGGCGGGTTGCTATGCCTATTTCCCCAAAGCTATGTTACGCTAGTGCGTGCATCCAAACGTGCACTGTTGTGACGCGTCCTCAGGTATTTTTTTTATACAGGTAGCAATATCGGAATCCCGTGTCTAAGAATAGATTATTGTAAACAGACCACATATTTGTTGGTGTTTAAGCACTTGATATAATTACTATTGCCAGTTGGAGGGTAAAACAATTCATAAATTTCATCAAAAATAGTCTTACCTACAAAGCGTAGCTGTACTGTACACGTGTACAGGGATTTGTTGACATGCTTCGATAGAAGTATGTCGCACTAAATAGTAAAGAAATTATTACTAACAAAACTGATAAATCAATAGGTATGTTATTAAAATGAAAACAAAATTTTCCATCGATTCCAAAAAAACACTATTGCCTTATTAAGGAAAATGAGCACATGCCTAAATATTAAAAAAAAAACTGAAGGAGAATTCGAACCTGCACCGTTTATTTTCTAGTCGCAAGTAAACTGCGTTACACATTCGGCTACATAGAACATATAGATATTGGCAATTACAAACTTATTTAACCCGAGAAACACCGGTCGCAGTTTAGAGAAACTTGATCACCCCTGTTTTTCATTATTTTGAGCACTTTCCCAAAGGAGGACAACTTTTCCGTAATACGATTTGTTTTTGCAAATTACATCACGGTCACAAAAAGTTTATTCAAAAGTTGGTCCTCGGATGGGAAAGTGTTNTTTGCTACCCGAAATGTTTTAATCCTTAATTTTTTTCCCCGTTTTCATAAATGCCGACTTGGGGAAATACGGGCAGTTTTCCGCCATACCTCTTTAAAAAAAACAGATTTTAAAAGAATAATACATGTATCATGATTTCTGTTCATTTCTATTCATATTAAGTATTTACAATATAGTAAATGACCATCAATATAGTCCTAATATTTATGTATTTACATGTACTTTCCCACTTTTATTACAGACTGCATACACGATGTTAGCAATTATATATAGCAAATGACCATGTTAAACTAATTTAAATAAATAACATAATTTGAAAACTTAATTTGATGAGACAGTTTCAAAAGTATGTAAAACGAGCTTGAGTATAAAAAATAACTCATATGATTTTGGTTCCCCCCTCAACTTTTCAAGTTAAATCATATTACTTCATTAACTCATAACTATTTCTTAACATCTCGTTTCATTGTTTGTTTTTGGTAAATAAAAGCATGTATATTTCTTAGATATGCATTTCAAATATGCACGTTATCCTTAATGACCCAGATTTGATACTTATATATATGGGACCCTAGTTATGACAAACTTATTTAATTTGACATTTGACCACTGATCATGAAATGGCGATGAAGAATGAACTCTGTAACTTTATTTTCTGACCTGGCATTACATATAGTTGCAGAACACATTACCAGTTGAACTTTTGTGTTGAGCCCAACACGAAGGTGTTGCCTGAGATTTATATTATGTGTATTTTATTTCATTTTAGCTGCGAGTATCATCCTATCCGCCATTATTTGGAGCGCAAAGGTCACCGAGTTCGGAAACACCGAGCTGGACCTGAGCTGGTCATTCGGTTTGTCCATCACCGGTGGAGTTTTGGCTGGAATAGGTGGGATTTTAGTAGCACTTGACCTGTGCCAGAACACGGATCAATAACTCTGACCCGGATTACAGTCCCAACACCATTCACGCTTTGGAGAACAAATACCTATAGGAACGTTTCCTTTGTTTTATTTTACAACGCACACTTCTGATTATACTAGGATTAATAGTTTAAATATTGCATTCTCTTTCGAAATTATTCAATGTACTTCATTATGGGGTATGTCGTTAGAATAATTCGTGCATTTGACATTGTGTGTCGTGGACATTACAGTTGTGTAATTACCCAATGCTATTTACTAAGATCTGGAACATGCTCGATAACAGTTGTGTTATTACCCAATGCTATTTACTAAGATCTGGAGCATGCTCGATAACAGTTGTGTTATTACCCAATGTTATTTACTAAGATCTGGAGCATGCTCGATAACAGTTGTGTTATAACCGAATGCTATTTACTAAGATCTGGAGCATGCTCGATAACAGTTGCTTCTGAATAACTATTGCTTTTAAATATCATATTGTATTTTTTTCTACAATTCATAAACTATATATCAAATCTTTTTTTTACGAGTTGATAAAGACAGAACTTTATTCACAAAACGAACCATTATCCGAAATAACCAATGAATGTAACAAAACGGGGTGCACAATTGAAAATGAAAATTATGATATATTTTTTATGACATTATGATTGTTTATAAATAATATTAAATGTTTTAGATGTATCTATGTATTAATTTTAATATTTGATACTTTATTGATTTATTTAAACTGTTTACTTTCATTTCTTCTCCTGAAGTACTGGTTTCAGTATTAATAGTGTGAGCTTTAATCAACAATAATGATGTAATCAATTAGCCTTGGTATGAGCAAACTTTTTTACAAACACTCTATTAAATCTATTAAAAATTATGCAATAGGAGGTTTTTTTTTACTTTTGAAAAGTGTTAAAAATAAAACATTGTCCAAATAAATAGTGCATAGGCCGATATCAATTCAATTCAATTTATGATACAGATATATATGTATTGGCGATGTAATCACGACCCTATCAGTACACAGACAACAGTAAGGATCCATGTGATCACGGGTCTATCACAGTACACAGACAACAGTAAGGATCCCTGTAATCACGGCCCTATCAGTACACTGACAACAGTAAGGATCCCTGTGATCACAACCCTATCAGTACACAGACAACAATAAGGATCCCAGTAATCACGGCCCTATCACAGTACACAGACAACAGTAAGGATCCCGGTAATCACGATTCTATCACAGTACACAGACAACAGTAAGGATCCCTGTGATCACGGGTCTATCACAGTACACAGACAACAGTAAGGCTCCCTGTGATCACAGCCCTATCACAGTACACAGACAACAGTAAGGATCCCTGTGATCACGGGTCTATCACAGTACACAGAAAACAGTAAGGCTCCCTGTGATCACAGCCCTATCACAGTACACGGACAACAGTAAGGATCCCTGTAATCACGATTCTATCACAGTACACAGACAACAGTAAGGATCCCTGTAATCACGGCCCTATCAATACACTGACAACAGTAAGGATCCCTGTGATCACAGCCCTACATGTATCAGTACACTGACAACAGTAAGGATCCCTGTAATCACGACCGTATCGGTACACAGACAACAGTAAAGATCCCTGTTATCACGGCCCTATCAGTACACAGACAACAGTAAGGATCCCTGTGATCACAGCCCTATCAGTACACAGACAACAGTGAGGATCCCTGTGATCATGACCCTATCACAGTACACAGACAACAGTAAGGATCCCTGTGATCACATCCCTATCAGTACACACACAACAGTAAGGATCACTGTGATCACGACCCTATCAGTACACTGATAACCGTAAGGATCCCTGTAATCACGACCCTATCACAGTACACAGAAAACAGTAAGGATCCCTGTAATCACGACCCTATCACAGTACACAGACAACAGAAAGGATCCCTGTGATCACCGGTCTATCACAGTACTCACAGCCCTATCAGTACACAGACAACAGTAAGGATCCATGTGATCACGGGTCTATCACAGTACACAGACAACAGTAAGGATCCTTTTGATCACAGCCCTATCAGTACACACACAACAGTAAGGATCACTGTGATCACGACCCTATCAGTACACTGATAACCGTAAGGATCCCTGTAATCACGACCCTATCAGTACACAGACAACAGTGAGGATCCCTGTGATCATGACCCTATCACAGTACACAGACAACAGTAAGGATCCATGTGATCACAGCCCTATCAGTACACAGACAACAGTAAGGATCCCTGTGATCACCGGTCTATCAGTACACTGACAACAGTAAGGATCCCTGTAATTACGACCCTATCACAGTACACAGACAACAGTAAGTATCCCTGTGATCACGGGTCTATCAGTACACTGACAACAGTAAGGATCCCTGTGATCACGCCCCTATCAGTACACAGACAACAGTAAGCATCACTGTGATCACCGGTCTATCAGTACACTGACAAGAGTAAGGATCCATGTAATCACGACCCTATCACAGTTCACAGTACACAGACAACAGTAAGGATCCCTGTGATCACAGTACACTGACAACAGTAAGGATCCCTGTAATCACGGCCCTATCAGTACACAGACAACAGTAAGGATCCCTGTGATCACGAGTCTATCAGTACACTGACAACAGTAAGGATCCCTGTAATCACGGCCCTATCAGTACACAGACAACAGTAAGGATCACTGTGATCACCGGTCTATCAGTACACTGACAACAGTAAGGATCCATGTAATCACGACCCTATCACAGTACACAGACAACAGTAAGGATCCTTGTAATCACGACCCTATCAGTACACAGACAACAGTAAGGATCCCTGTAATCACGGCCCTATCACAGTATACAGACAACAGTAAGAATCCCTGTAATCACGACCCTATAACAGTACACAGACAACAGTAAGGATCCCTGTAATCACGACCCTATCAGTACACAGACAAGAGTAAGGATCCATGTAATCACGGCCCTATCACAGTACACAGACAACAGTAAGGATCACTGTAATCACGGCCATATCACAGTATACAGACAACAGTAAGAATCCCTGTAATCTCGACCCTATAACAGTACACAGACAACAGTAAGGATCCCTGTGATCACGGCCTTACCGGTACACAGACAACAGTTAGGATCCCTGTAATCACGATCCTATCACAGTACACAGACAACAGTAAGGATCCCTGTAATCACGGCCTTATCAGTACACAGACAACAGTAAGGATCCTTGTAATCACGGCCCTATCAGTACACAGACCACAGTAAGGATCCCTGTAATCACGGCCCTATCCCAGCACACTGACAACCGTTAGGATCCCTGTAATCACGACCCTATCACAGTACACAGACAACAGTAAGGATCCCTGTAATTACGGTCCTATCAGTACACTGACAACAGTAAGGAGCCCTGTGATCACGGCCTTACCGGTACACAGACAACTGTTAGGATCCCTGTTATCACGACCCTATCCCAGTACACAGACAACAGTAAGGATCCCTGTGATCACCGGTCTATCAGTACACTGACAACAGTAAGGATCCCTGTAATCACGACCCTATCACAGTACACAGACAACAGAAAGGATCACTGTAATCACGACCCTATCACAGTACACAGACAACAGTAAGGATCCCTGGAATCACGGCCCTATCAGTACACAGACAACAGTAAGGGCCCCTGTAATCACGGCCCTATCACTACACACACAACAGGAAGGATCCCTGTGATCACGGGTCTATCAGTACACAGACAACAGTAAGGATCCTTGTAATCACGGCCCTATCAGTACACAGACCACAGTAAGGATCCCTGTAATCACGGCCCTATCAGTACACAGACAACAGTAAGGGTCCCTGTAATCACGGCCCTATCACTACACACACAACAGTAAGGATCCCTGTGATCACGGGTCTATCAGTTCACAGACAACAGTAAGGATCCCTGTGATCACGGGTCTATCAGTACACAGACAACAGTAAGGATCCCTGTGATCACGACCCTATCAGTACACAGACAACAGTAAGGATCCCTGTAATCACGGCCCTATCAGTACACAGACAACAGTAAGGATCCCTGTAATCACGGCCCTATCAGTACACAGACAACAGTAAGGATCCCTGTAATCACGGCCCTATCAGTACACAGACAACAGTAAGGATCCCTGTAATCACGGCCCTATCAGTACACAGACAACAGTAAGGATCCCTGTAATCACGGCCCTATCAGTACACAGACAACAGTAAGGATCCCTGTAATCACGGCCCTATCAGTACACAGACAACAGTAAGGATCCCTGTAATCACGGCCCTATCAGTACACAGACAACAGTAAGGATCCCTGTAATCACGGCCCTATCAGTACACAGACAACAGTAAGGATCCCTGTAATCACGGCCCTATCAGTACACAGACAACAGTAAGGATCCCTGTAATCACGGCCCTATCAGTACACAGACAACAGTAAGGATCCCTGTAATCACGGCCCTATCAGTACACAGACAACAGTAAGGATCCCTGTAATCACGGCCCTATCAGTACACAGACAACAGTAAGGATCCCTGTAATCACGGCCCTATCAGTACACAGACAACAGTAAGGATCCCTGTAATCACGGCCCTATCAGTACACAGACAACAGTAAGGATCCCTGTAATCACGGCCCTATCAGTACACAGACAACAGTAAGGATCCCTGTAATCACGGCCCTATCAGTACACAGACAACAGTAAGGATCCCTGTAATCACGGCCCTATCAGTACACAGACAACAGTAAGGATCCCTGTAATCACGGCCCTATCAGTACACAGACAACAGTAAGGATCCCTGTAATCACGGCCCTATCAGTACACAGACAACAGTAAGGATCCCTGTAATCACGGCCCTATCAGTACACAGACAACAGTAAGGATCCCTGTAATCACGGCCCTATCAGTACACAGACAACAGTAAGGATCCCTGTAATCACGGCCCTATCAGTACACAGACAACAGTAAGGATCCCTGTAATCACGGCCCTATCAGTACACAGACAACAGTAAGGATCCCTGTAATCACGGCCCTATCAGTACACAGACAACAGTAAGGATCCCTGTAATCACGGCCCTATCAGTACACAGACAACAGTAAGGATCCCTGTAATCACGGCCCTATCAGTACACAGACAACAGTAAGGATCCCTGTAATCACGGCCCTATCAGTACACAGACAACAGTAAGGATCCCTGTAATCACGGCCCTATCAGTACACAGACAACAGTAAGGATCCCTGTAATCACGGCCCTATCAGTACACAGACAACAGTAAGGATCCCTGTAATCACGGCCCTATCAGTACACAGACAACAGTAAGGATCCCTGTAATCACGGCCCTATCAGTACACAGACAACAGTAAGGATCCCTGTAATCACGGCCCTATCAGTACACAGACAACAGTAAGGATCCCTGTAATCACGGCCCTATCAGTACACAGACAACAGTAAGGATCCCTGTAATCACGGCCCTATCAGTACACAGACAACAGTAAGGATCCCTGTAATCACGGCCCTATCAGTACACAGACAACAGTAAGGATCCCTGTAATCACGGCCCTATCAGTACACAGACAACAGTAAGGATCCCTGTAATCACGGCCCTATCAGTACACAGACAACAGTAAGGATCCCTGTAATCACGGCCCTATCAGTACACAGACAACAGTAAGGATCCCTGTAATCACGGCCCTATCAGTACACAGACAACAGTAAGGATCCCTGTAATCACGGCCCTATCAGTACACAGACAACAGTAAGGATCCCTGTAATCACGGCCCTATCAGTACACAGACAACAGTAAGGATCCCTGT